CCCGCCTGCCCCGACACCCTCTCAGGCCCCTCCCTCCCCTTTATGCTCATGCTTACCCCTGGTTCTCCGTCCGTTCTGTCTCCCTTTTTCGCTTTCTTGCTCGTTTTGCGCTGCTTCTGTTGTCCCCCTCCTCCAGCCTGCTCCGGCGTCTCCAACTCGTTCTCTGCCACCTGCTCTCCTCCGCTCTCTCCGCTCTGCTCCATTTCTCCTCCGCTGCCCTCCTCCTCTCCGGTCTCCTCCTCGCTTTCTCCAGTCACCTCCTCCTCTCCTTCTGCCGCGTCCTTGTACACCTCCTCCTCCGCCTCATTCCTGCTCTCCTTTTCATTTTCACACTCGCAGTCACTTTCTCTTTTTTCACAGTTTTTACATTTTGCCAGGTTCGCGCTGCACTCACGTGCAAAGTGTCCCTGCACCCCACATTTGTGGTACATGAACTCTGGGCACTCTCGCAGGATGTGTCCCGGCTGGATACACATCCTGCACACTTTTTGTTGTCTATCATGAATGACTCTGAAGAATTCGCTCCCCATCACTGTATTGAATTTTGTGGAGTAAGGGAGCGACTGTACCTGGTCGTTGAACCGGACCCGGACAAACCTTGTTCCGTCGGCTATTGTTGACCCTGGCCACATTCTCCTTTTTAATTGGAGATGTGGGGTTCACTCCCCAGCCCGTCAGCTTCCACACGATTTCTTCATCCGTGATGTAGGCCGGCAGGTTCAGAAAGGACACCACCAGCTCGTCATTATTTAGTTCTCTGGCTACAACTCTTGTCTCTCCAATCTTGAAGCCGTCCAAGAGCCTTTCTTTTCCCTTGATGTTGCTCACTGTCACTTCCAGTTTTTCCGGCCCCACGGTTCTGCACGCCAGCAGGCCCCCGCAGATCATTTTTATGTTGTTCATTACCTGCTGTAAAGGTACTTTTCCCCCACCATTTCAATGTTTAGTGTCAGTTTTTTTTCGTAGGCCACTTTTGCCTCTCTTTTCTCAGCTCCCTCTGCACCTCTCACACTCTGCACACCAATCAGTCCTTGATTGTCCGCAGCTGGGGCAATCAGCTCACTGCTCCTCTCTCTTCCTCTCTCTCCGTTGCCCATACCATTCCCAGTTTCGTTTGCCATGTTTATCAGTCCTTTTTGTCCGTCGTCCTTTTCGTTGTCGTTTAATCCGTTCCGTTGTTTCAATGCCGTGTTTGTCTGTCCTTTTTCTTGTCCATTATCTATTTCTTTTTCCTTTTTCTCCGGTCCGTTGTCCTGTCATCTTTGTGATCCGTCCGTGTGTGTTTGCTAGCGGCCCGCTAGCAAACATTTAAGAGATCAAAAGATCTTCCCAAAAAAAGGGGTAAACAGGTAAGAAAAAAAGAAAAGCAATCCCCCTCACAGTCCGTGACTGCTGGGGGACGTTCACTAAACATCTGAGGACTTTAAACAAAACAATGCATATATAACAAAAACGAAAAATAAGGACTCCTGCTCTCTCTGGCACGTCTGCTCTCTCCGGGCTCCACTCTGTCTCTGCCGTAAACGGGGCGTGTTCAGGGTGGTATGGCCGTAAGCCATTGTTGTGTGCAGAAAGGGGCCTTTTAAAGATCTCATGCCCTCGGCCATAATGTGGGGGAGCAAATGCTCCCCCACATTATTGATTCTGGCTGAATTTTTGGACATGTGAATATGTCTCTATATAATGAAAAAAAAGCATATGATGAAAAAAATGAAAAAGCTTACAGCACCTGGTATTCCCAGGCGGTCTCCCATCCAAGTACTAACCAGGCCTGACCCTGCTTAGCTTCCGAGATCGGGCGTGTTCAGGGTGGTATGGCCGTAAGCCATTATTGTGTGCAGAAAGGGGCCTTTTAAAGATCTCATGCCCTCGGCCATTATTGATTCTGGCTGAATTTTTTTGACATTTGAATATGTCTCTATATGATGGAAAAAAATCAAAAAGCTTACAGCACCTGGTATTCCCAGGCGGTCTCCCATCCAAGTACTAACCAGGCCCGATCCTGCTTAGCTTCTGAGATCAGATGAGATCGGGTGTGTTTTTTTTTTTTTATCTTTTATTATCAAAAGTATAAAAACATTTATATTATTTACACATCATTTACAAGAAATACTATCCCAAGACATACACCATATAAATCAAACCTCCCCTCAGAAACAAGCGATTGCCAAACAAAATCAAAACTTCCCCTGATTCCAAAAAACTTAAAAACTCTTGAGTTCCTCCCTCAAAGTAAACAACCCACAAAGCTCTCAAAATCCCCTGCAAACCAAAAGCCCTCAAATCAAACCACCCATTTTTCCCCATGACCAAAGAAAAGCCTTAACAAAAAACAAAATAAATTATACATCCCACACAATTCCCTCTTCATTTACCCCACACACAATCGCCCCTTCCACAAACATTCTCACAAACTCACTCTCATTCGCAACGTGCAACAATTTTAGGTGTGCTCTCCATTCATTCGAAAACATTCTCCACACATTCATTCTCTTGTTTTCATACAATGCAAAATTCCTCCTGTTAAAAACCGCTTTGCGTGCAAAGGCTAAAATCATATTCATAACATTGTGGTTTTTTTGTTTCGTTCCCACCCCCAACAGCACCGACAACTCCCACCCTCTTTCATTCCAACACTCATTCTCGCTACATTTCCCCAACATTTCCCTTATTTTTCCCCAAAACACGCCCAATTCCCCACATGTAACACATAAGTGCATCAAATCCTCATCCATACTTTCACATACACAACACTTTCTTTCATACCTCTCCTTGTGGATTTGATGCAGGACGATGCAGGTGAAGATCCTCCTGTGCCTCAGTTTGAAATCTAAGTCAAATGTTGCATGCGGTGTGTGCGGTATGTTAATGTTTTTCCATATCATGTTGCTTGTTATGTCTGGGTATGTGTCTGTCCATTTAACTTCAGATGTGGGTTTGCGCATCTATACCAAATTTTTGTGGTGACATCAGTAATGTTGTGTTTCTTCTCCCCTAGGCACAGGGAGATCCCCACCGCATCGTCCTGCATCGCTCCCTCCTTCTCCTTGATTAGTTTTTCCCATTCGCTCGACAAAGACAATTTTACATTTTCAAACACTCTCTCAATCACATCCTTTCTGCACACATACCCCTTATTTTTTAATCCCCCCAACACCATTTGTACATCAAACTCCCCACCACCGTTCACTAAATCCCCTATTCTAATTTATCCCGCTTTCTCCATTGCCTCGCACTTGATTGCCCTCTCCCCATTTTTAAAATACGGGCTTGAGAGGAAGCAATGACCCTCTCGTTCCGCACTCCGGTACAGTCCAGGCTGAAACCTGATACCACGCATTGAGTACTTCCTGGAAAAACCGTGGCAAGTGTTTAAATGCGTCCGGGTTATTGATCTGGTGCAGGTTGTCCTCGTTGCGGAGTCCAAAACTGCACAGATGTTGTTTGAAGTGGTTTTTCCAACCTACGTTCCTTAAATTTGCCTATCAATTTGGCTCTTAGTGCTACTTTTTTTGTCAGTAAATCAATCAAAGCTAACCCTCCCTGATCTTTAGCCCCTATTATTGTTTTGTGAGCTATACTCGCTGCTTTGTTTCCCCAAATAAAGTCCCTAATGATCTTTGAGATCTCCGCAAAGGCCCAGTCCGGAAGCGCACAAGTACTCAGCGCATGATTCACTTTGGACAACACGACAGCATTTGTTACGGCTACCCTTCCTTGCTCATTGTGTGGTATGACAAACACTGACACAAATTCATAAGGGCCCCAACGGTTGAAAACTAAACTCAAGGGACAAAAAGGGTTTTCCTTTTGTGCACACTTCATTATTTTAGTTTGTTATTTTTCACATCTGTCATACCTGTTTATCTATTTATGTATGAACCATATTTTGAGTATTTAATAAAAAGATTCAAACTTTCATTCTAGTGTGGAAATTCTCTTTATTGGTATTCAAATTCTCTGGCTCTTAACAATCTAGTTTCTTTTGATATTGGTCTACATTCACATTGATGACAACATATAAGATCAAATTCTGTAACTGTTTAGACCATTACTAAATTGTAAGAAGGGCTACAGAAGCAATACAAACAGATATAAATCAAAAATAGCAACAATTGTAGGGGTCGAAGCATTGAAACATTGAAGTAGCAGCAGCAACCATGTGTCTGACTTTGTCAATTTATTGATTGTTTGTGTCTCTCTGGCCTCATATGCTGTTTGTCAACTTTGCTGTTGCAAGAATTGGATTGTTGTGTTAAGTCCCATGACTTTCTGTTTATAAATGTGTTTTACTTGATGTTTTATAAACCACCTAATATTTCATTAAATATAAATATTACAAGCACTAGTTGCAGCATTATAATAGTCATTCACATTTTGTTTATGAATGGTTTCTAAACCATGTGTAAAGCAATTGTTAGTTTTATAAACATCAATTCAAACTTTATAATAACCATCCAAATAATGTTAATAGATGCTTTACACATTATTTATTAACCATTTACAGAGTATTATAAACATCAGTTCCAATTTTATAATAACCATCCAGATAATGATTGTAGATGGTTTATAAACCAATTATTAATCATTGATAAAATATAAATTATCTATCTAAAAAATATTTATAGATGCTTTACAAAGTATTAACAAGGGATTATAATCTTCAGGCTTTGGCACACCTCTCCGAAGTGTGCCAAAGCCAAGGAAGAGTACCGTAACCCCCTCTATTTCAGCCCTGCTCAGAACAGGCTGTTTCTTTGTCTGTACCTTTAAATGAGCTGTGTTTGACCACGTCCCCCTCTGGAAGGGCTTGGGTGTCTTGGTCTTTCTCGCTCCATGTCCTATTTTTTACAGTGAGAAGGCAGACTCAGAGGGCAGAACAAACACATAGCTGTGGGAGTGTCACCCACCTGGTGTAGGGGTTACTGCCCTTTGTGATGTCATGAAGGGAAAATCTCCAAACGGCCTGTTTGAGCACACATTTTCTGAAAAGTGGAGCAGGCTAAAGACTGAGAGGATGGACTTTTCACATCATTGGGGGGTTTGTAGACAGACTCGAGACACATATTAGTGTCATATGTGACCTGTACACGACTGGAAGTAGAAAATGTTTTTTATGTTATGAAGAATCTTTTCAGTTTGAATATTTTGGAAAATAAGGAACTCACAGAGGATCGTAGGTTAGGTCATTAACTTAAGCACAGAAACAGGAAGTGGTTAGGGATCACAAACTGATGTCAAACAGCTCAAAGGAACAGTAACAAAGGTCAATGTGTGATGTCATAAGGTGGATATTACTTTGGACTCATCTGTTGAGCTGATCCTTCAACATTTATGTAACTTTATCCTGCTCAGATTCAATTGTTCAGCATTGAGAATGTTTCTCCTGCAGGGAACAGAGCGACACTGACGAACTAGACCTAAACCAGAAGCCAAACCCAAACCCAGGATAAAGAGGTTCAGTGAAGGTGGTGTTGAAGGTGTGGAGGTGGATCAATGTGTCAGAGGAGACTCTGTAGAAGGACAGAGAGCCAGCAGGACAGTCCACATACACTGCTACTCTGTTACAGACAGAGGAGGATGAGGGGGAGATGGAGGTCACTGTGTCATTGTGATAGACAGTGTAAGCACCGTCAGAGATACTCAGTCTCCAGGACTGATGGTTCCTTCCAAACACACAGTCAACACTTCCACCCCTCCTCCTGATTCCTCTGTAACTCACCGTTATATCAACATGACCTCTCCACTCCACCTCCCAGTAACAGCGACTAGTCAGACCATCTCTACACAGCAGCTGAGGCCACTCATCAAACCTGTCTGGATGATCAGGGTAAGACTGATTCTTCTCCACAAATGTAAACTTCCTTTTATTGTCAGACAGTTGGATCCTTCTGTTTACGGTGTTTGTGTCGACCATGAGATCACAGGAATCTGAAGGAGAGAACAAGACATGATTTAAATAAGCTATGTCACATTTGGAAGATGGCTACATTTGTGCAGTTTTGTTTTCATTAATGAAAGTAAAACACTTACACTTCTTCAGACCTGGCCTCAACCATTTGACTCCATTAGGCTCCACCCTGAAAGTAGTAAATGGTCAAAGATTTGGGGGAAAAGCTATAAAAGTACAGAGAGCGTGAGACTCAAGTTGATTTAACACATGGAAACTTGCCATTAGGCCTAGAGCAAGAAGGCACATCAATGCTAACTACAAGCATCCAGGCAAATATATAAAGAAATGCAGTGAACAAGCTGGTATTCATGCCGGGCTAAAGGCTTATCCTGAGAGCCTTTTTGTGATGATTCTGTTTGGTTTTGGTGTAGGGTTTTTTCTGTATTTGTTCTCTCTCTCCTTCTCCCCCTCCCCTTTCTGTTTTCTTTCTCTTGCAGGTGAGTGGCAGGGGGTGTGGCTGGCTTCGCCACTCAGCAGCAGACAAGGCACACCTGGCTCCACTCAGTTAATCATATTCTCCATAAAAGCCTGGTCTTCACTCCACTTCTCTGCCAGATAATTCCGTTCGGTAGTGTCTCTCAGTTAATACTGAGCAGCTTATTTTTCACAGTATATCTTTGTGCTTTGGATGTGTTTTTGTTCTTACCTTTTTTTCCCCTTGTGCTTAGGTACTCCGGTGTGCCTCTCTTTTTCGCCTGAGTTTCCTACTTCACTTTGTGGATTATTTTTCTGGCCAGCCAGCTGCCTGCCTGCACTGCCTGTTCTTTTTATTAAACAGGTTTTTTTGTTACATTGTTTATTCTGTGTTCGGTCTCTGCTTTGGGGTTTTGATTTGAACTGGAACCTTAACAGTTTTAAACTAGTTCATTTGCTAATCTGTGTTTCAACTGTGCCATCAACATAAAATTTACGATTCCTATCCAGCATGAAAATAAGGAAAGTCTGGTGTTAATTTTCACATAAAGGTGGGTCCATAATAAGATCATCATTAACCAGTTAACCCAGGGTACCTCTTTGGTCTGTGGGAGGAGAACCCATGCAGGCATCAGGAGTAAATGGGTGGTCCAAACAGAAAGGCTTCATCTTGCCAGGAGATTAACCGACAAGACCTCAACGTTGTGATGCTCAGTTCAGAGATCAGAGTTATTCATACCATTTATTGCTGGTGCTGTCCACCATCTACAAAAATAAAATTAAGTATATCTTGGACGGCTGCATCACTGTCCCGAATTCGACCATCAACAACGTTTCAACTTGGTGTTTCAGGCTCCTCTGCAGCAGGCTGACAGCAGGACCAATACAATGTTTCCAGTTCCTACTCCTCTATCAGACTGGTTGTCTTGGGCCACAGATGGCCTCTTCTTACCTCAGTGTGTCTAGACCCCATTGTGGATCCTTCAGTCCAGCAGAAAGCAGCTTGACTGTTGAGTCTCCCAGATGGTTGTAGCTCAGGTCCAGCTCTCTCAGGTGGGAGGGGTTGGAGCTCAGAGCTGAGGCCAGGGAAGAACAGCCTTCCTCTGTGATCATACAGCCTGAGAGCCTGACACAAAGCAAAAAAAGACACATTTAGATCACCTGTGAGGTCTGGGTAATACCAACGACAATGGAAGATAATATTCAGTTTGAAAATCTGAAAATTCTGTTTAAGAATGTCCCTTTTTAAAGTCATTTTTAAACTAATTAGAGTTTAGATTGTAGGGGTATATTGCAAGCCATTTAAAGAGATCATAATATGCCCTTTTTGGGGTTCATATATTTAATTTATGTGCCTATTAAAGTATGTTCACAATCGCTAAAGTGAAAAGAAAAAGTGTCTGTTTTCATGTACTGCCGCTCCATGCACCGTCTCAACTCTGGCTCTGTCGGCAACACTCTGTAGTGCCACGTTCCAGGTCCCGTCGTGTGCCAAGTCTGATCTGATTGGTCGGCCGGTCGACTCTGTCGTAATTGGTCAGTTGCTCAGCACGGTTCTCGGAAATGTCACGCCCCTTTTACCATATTGGGAATGCAGTTACTTTGGCTCCGAGGGGAGCATTGACATGTTTTGTGTTCCCAAACAATATGTTTATAATATAGTAGAGTGTAACATCGACCCAAGAAGAATTTTGAGAAGAATGATAATGGCGAGGTTACACCATCCATTCTCTGGGATGGCGCTAAAGCAGTGATAAGGGGAAGAATGATTGAAATATCGAGTAGAGAAAAAGAAATAGACTAAAGACACAACTAGTCCTAGAAAGTAAAATAAAAACACTGGAACAAAAGCACAAAAATAATAGCACCAATAAAAGACTCCTAAAGGAACAGAGAAAAAAGCGATACGAGCTAGAGGAGATTCTGACAAATAAAGCTGAGGGGCGCTTAGATTTACAAACC